CTCCGATGCGTTTGCCTCATCTATTGCAAGAGGAGGAGCAGGATGAGGGAGGCCAACAATGCCTAGCACACCATACTCCTTAACCACCGAACACAGACGTGATCAATCTCAGAAGCATTAGTTACATTTGGTCAATGTTCAAAAGGAACTACACTAGTAGGCAATCCAAAACTTGCACAAAATCAATCCTAGATTGTTAGAATCCCAACTAGTTCTGTTGTAGCATTCACTGTTAGGGGTGGCTATACGGTCCGGTCCGGTTAAATTGGCCCAAATTGATCCGGTCAAGTCCGGTCTTTTTGAAAATATAAGGACCGAAGATTGGATTGGATACAGTCCGGTCTTGATCCGATCCGGTTTTGATCCGGTCCGGTCCCAATTCGGTCTTGATTTTACATTGAGATTATGGGATTTGAGTGGCCTAAGGCCTTAAAGGGTGAGGAGTTGGTTAAGTTTTGTACTATGTGCAAAGGTTTGTGACCGTTTATGCAAATTACCCTTAAGTTTTGGGTGTTGAGCTTTCTTATCCGGTCTTTATCCGGTTTTTTACCTCAAATCTAAGCCCAAAGATTGGATTGGATTGTTTACTATCCGGTCCGGGTCCGGTCTCGGTCCGGGTTTTACGGTCCGGTTTTCGGTTTTTAATCCGGTCCCGGACCAAATAGCCACCCCTATTCACTGTGAAAAGGAAAGTTTTGGTTGGAACATTTACCTTTGACACCAAATCTAGGTCCGCAAGGTTTTTTTGGGAGATTGGTTAAGTGGACTGGGAAATGGTGCAATGAGCACCCACCGGATCAATGCCAAAATGGCGAGCTAGCCTAGTGATGTAGGCACGTCCATGGATGGTCTTGATTTGTTTGTTGGAGGTCATCTGGTGTAGGGTTTTCAGTATGAATAAACCAAGATGAATTGGGGGATCTTTACCATAGAGAGGAAAAAGTTCAAATCCCGCTTGGTCACACTCCCCGGACTCCTCTCCCTCGCTGCCACAGAGTGAGCGATAATGTTGTGGATGATACGCCATGGGGGAAGAAGATCATTTCCTCTATAGTGGGCAGGGTTAGACTTTTTCACATGGCTTTGTTTCAGCTTTTTCCACACGTTATGGACCAATGGTGCTCTTGGTGGATATATTTTCTCTGAAATCATACCATGTCCATCTGTGGTGAGAAATCCTGGTGGGAATATATGGAGTGCCTCTGCGAACTCGGTGATGCTCATTTGTCTCGCCTGTCCTCCAAGGCGAAAAGTTATGTTGTCTTTGGGAATGTCGAGGTTAAACTCGGTTATATACTTGATGGAGAGAGTATTGAGGAACTCAATGGTAAGCTCTCAAGAGATGACCTCATTGATGGAGAGAACCTCACACCATGCCGAGAGACGGAGGCATGTGTAGTTTTTGCTGCCCAAATGGGAGGGGAAGGAAGCGTTCCAAATCCCTCCTATGTTTGTCGGGTAGTTGGAGGAAGTCGTGCAGTCCCCCTCCTCCAAGTTGAGCCTCCAGTTGTGGTGGTGGTGGTGGAGATGGTTGATGTGCCCGTCCTTGGTTGTTTTTTCGTTGTCGTTTGGGGGTATTGTCTCGTTGTTGGGTTTGGCGGCGACGACGAAAAGGATCTGGCACGTTGGCATTAGAGGATGCTGGTTGTGTGGTTTTTCATTTATATCGAGCCATTCCTACAAACACCAGCTCAGCACATTTAGTCTTTAGTAAATGAGAGGGAAAAGTATTGTGCATAGGCAAAAACAAATCACAAAATAAGGACTCTGGTATTCATTCCAGTTTTTAACAAAGGTACTGGAAGATCTAGACTTACAGACCTTAGGTATTGAGTATAAGTTACACTCAATAGTAAACTAGTTAAACTCCACTTCACATGAGAAATAGCTATAGCAAATCACTTGTCTCGAATGAACAAAGAAACTCCATATGGAGACAACGGCAAACAGAGAGAGATTCAATGTACCAAATTGAGCTAGTTATGGCAACTACAAGTGCTAAGTTACACAATTCAGCTTCACAAAGATAAAAGGCAGCAACTTACTGCGTCGATGTGTATTGTCTCGTGCCCTCAAGTGTGTTGTTTTGCTATAACATATTCCAATGCCCCTCTCGGCTAATTGGATCCAAATGATTTGAAATTAACAAGCCATGTGAAAATATGAGCCTCCAATATTTGATCTCTGCAATTTTACCACAAGCAGCACCCCCAACTCTATTGAAAAAGATATCCAAATGGTAGCAAATGCCAAAATATAATCACTCAACAAAGAGAAGTATAGCTTGGTATAACTACTTCAAAAGAATAACCTAATTCACTAGTTCGACAAATAATTTGTTCTTTTAGGCAATAAATCAAACAGGTAGAGTGAATGCAAAAGCCATTACCTAGCATGGACAAAGGAGGCATATGGAACCGACATCTTAAGGGGAGAGTGGTCGGGGTTCGAGAAGCTTTAAGCAGAGAGTGAGAGAGGGGTTTCAAACTGGACGATTTCCGACGAGGTTGAGAGAAGGTGAGGTAGGAGGAGAGGTTGAGAGAGGGTTTGGGATCGAAGTGGAACAGAGGGCGGGGACTCGTGGGGAAGTGGTCGTTGTCGCCACTGAACCTTGTGAGGCGTTAGGGATCGAAGGGGAACAGAGGAGGTGTCGGGGAAGGGGAGACAGTTGCTGATCGGCTGCGGAAGAATCTTGGAGCAGTTACGAGGAGGAGGAGGAGTTGAGGGCAAGTGAGCGATAGCGAGGTAGGAGAAGAGGGTTGGGGGTCAAAGTGGAACAGAGGGAGAGGGGCATCGAACAAAATAGGGAGAGGAGTTTCAAATTTTAATCTACAGAGGTTAGTTTTTAGGGTTTCCATCTCATAGCATCTTATCCTGGGCGGGATATTACCAACTCCAACCCGTGAAACTCCCTGGGAATTTCATGGATTTTTTTTTACATCTAACGGTACATCTCCCCACTGTGCGATTTAGGTTATGAAGCGTGAGAAATTGGGAGTTGTTTCCATCTCACGGCATATTCTCCCAGGAGAGATAAGAGCGTTTTTTAATCATTTTTTTATCGTTTTCACAACTTAGTCTGTCGGGTGTGAGAATTTAATTACCAAGCGGTGAGGTACCCTGGGTTTGAACGAGCACCTGCGAACATCACACGGGTGATTATCACGTCCGTGAGAATTTCGAGATCCTTTTTCTTTCCATTTTCACACCCCTGTAATTATCATAATGGAGATTGAAACGAGCACTTGTACTATAGCACCAATACTGTATAACATTGTAAAATTCCTCGATTGAGACATGTAGTTTCTGAAAAGATGAGTCATAATGTTCTTCGAAGCTAAACATGAGTATTACATAGACCCATTCAATGTCACTAGATACTAACTTGGAGAAAACAAACATTAAACATAATGTTCTTTAAAGCCAAACACCAGCATTACAGGTTGTGCTTGGATCGTTTGGGAAGTAGAACAGATTCTTGAGTTTCCACATGAAAGTTGCTTTCAATGGCTCCAATAGACTCGAAGTTGTATTCTTGTTGCGTGAAATGACTACCACATGCACCTCCTTTTGCCATTCTTTTGAGCGGGCAATTTCTGATTGTATGTTTAGGACGCCTACAATACTTGCACAATCGTCTTTTCACTTGAGTTTGCTTAACTCCAGCATCCGTAGTAGCATTATTTGTTTTGCTGGTTGTTTCTTCACTTATTGTCTTCACTCGCAAGGTTAAGTCTTCAATCAACCCTTTGGCAGTATGAAATGCTTCATCTGAACTCACAGCATAATGGCACATTCTACTAAATTGACCAACCAAGAAACCAAACCTGTTTAAATAATCAAGCACTTTTATAGTTGGTTCCAAGCACAATAGAAGTAAACAAAGAACTAAATCGGCAGCTTAAATGTATAATACCTGCTAATATTTTGCTGGGTAGGACAGCTTCCCATACTCGAGTGATCAAACTCTTTTGCATTTTTAGTCAAACGATTCAAAATGAGTGACTTGGGAATCTGTACTTTATTTTCTGCTTTCAATATACAGAATATATGCCGACATGGAATTCCGCAGAACTCAAAAATGCCACAAGAACAATGCACATCTTGTCCACTCGAGTAAAATACCACGGTGCACTTTGAGTCATGGTATTTGAATCGTGACAATGTATAAATTGTTTTATTGGCCAACACACACTTGTCTGTAATATAGTAATGAACTTCTCTCGCTATTTCTGCTCGAACGCTCCTGAACATATTTCTTTATATTATAGAGGCATGTCTTTCAATTTCATGTAAATGTGTCAGTATGTATTGTCTTAAATTGGTCATGTAACTCAGTTTGTCTCCTATACAAAAGTGCCATGTCAAACTGCTTGACAAACTCAAACAACTTCATCTTACTTTTCAAGAATTTGTCTAGATAAGAGTTCATGCTCTCACAACGTTGAGACGTAGTCATCCCAGCAAAGAAAGTACCTTTCAAGTAAGTTGTTGCCCATAGAGCTCGTAGCCTATACATCTTCTTCATCCACACATTGTGCTCCAGATCTTACTTGGACAAAAAAATTTTCCACGTAGCTTCAAATTGTGGAATAGAACTGCAGTTTAGCATGCATAGTTTGAAATCCTCCCGGAATCCTTTCGCATGGCCACGCACTTTTGCGTTATTAACATAGTCGATGCCGGGATCCAGGAAGATCAGACTTGATAGCTTTCCTCATTGAAGAACAACCATCTGTTATAACTGCGGTTGGCTTCTTACCACCCATGCAATGTAAAAAAGCATTTAGAATCCACACGTAGTTCTCCGTCGTTTCATCCGCAATTAAAGTACATGCAAAAACAGTGCTTGCATTGTGATTATTCACACCAATTAATAGAAGAAATGGAAGATTATATGCATTAGTCTTGTAATTCAAGTAAAAAACCAGAACATCTCCAAAGAGACTATAATCCAATTGTGAAGTAGAGTTAGGCCATAACATATTGCCTAGTTCACCACCATAACTTACTGTTTATCTACAATAAAAACGAGGATCGGTAGTTGCCCGTGCTTATAAGTAGGCAAGTGTAACTCACTATCACTATCCAATATCTCTGAACTCTGATGCGCAGCAACAAAATTGTAGACATCGGTCTTAGTGAAACCCAAGTTCTGAAAGCTTCCTGCACCATTCACTAGATAATCCATGATTTGATTGGTGCGAACACCAGCAACCCTAAGTGATCGAATCTGAGCCTTACTTGCATCATCTACCTTGCGATGAGAACTCAAAAACTGCACTTCATGTGCTCCAGCTAAGTGATGAAAATGTGTTGGTACAAACTGCTTCACCTTGAATCGGTTAGTTGCCTCAACAAAACTCACTTTGAAAACAGCCGCGTGAGCATTGGATGACACTCCCCCTCGCGTGAGCAAACCCATAGCTGCATATTTTTAACTCCATATTTTGAATATGTGTGAGTGTTCTATATACACTGAATCCCATGGCAGAACCATAAGTTGAATAGAACTTGTCAGCCTCCACAAGGGTTTCAAACTCATAACCAACAACATCATCCGATTCCCATTTAGCATATGGCTTCCCATTTCCGACTTTATCAAGCAGGGTCCAGTCATACATACTCGAGGATGGTGGAGCCTTGGCTGGATTTGGAGCATCTTTGTGTAGAGGTGCATCTGAGCTGTGTGGATGTGTTTTGAAGCTGTGCAAATTCTCATCTGAGATGTTCTCCTTATCATCATCACCAATGTTAGTGTTATTATCATCCTCAGAATCACTATAGCTGGTGTCGACATTGTCGTCCATAACGTCACTATCTCTAACACCACCGGTATCATCTCTATAATCCATTCCCCAATCTAAACCAACATTCAAGTCAATTCCCGTGTCCTTTGCCTGTGCTCATATCATCCATCAACCCTTCCATAGTTGATAAACTGAAAACAACCAACAAAATGAAGTTTAAAGATAATTAAAATCCATATATTCACCACCCACAACCCACCGAATCCAACAGTACAGTAATCAATTAACAAGCAACGAAAAGATGTCATGCTAGATTAGAGGCATATGCATATAACCGCATAGGTGCCTAGTTCATTTACCAAGAGACGAGGTAAAAATCAATGAAACTAGTATTATACCATTCATGGTGCCAGTCACAGAAACCAAAAGTAAACTCGATTTCATTACCCTCTATGGAAGCTACTCTTGAATTCCAGAATCACTACAGCTTGACTTTCATCACATTTCTTGGATTCCATAATTAGTGTAATAGTCATTAGTGTAAAAGTCCCTCAAGTCATTAGTGTTAAAGCCATTACTGTAAAAGGCATTAGTGTAAAACTCAGAAATTGTAATCTATTGTTAATCCAAGTCCTGGGATTATTCAATGCTCACAAGATTGGTTCCAGAATTTTATTTCTATGCTTGAGTGGTCTCTTTAGCTACCTTCATACCCAACTTTCCTAAACAAAGCTGCCAGTTTATCCACCTGTAGCTTGTACAAACAAACTCGTTCCACTTTCACAAGTCTTAATGTTGCAATATCCTCTACACAGTACTAAACAATAAACAAGTCTCAACCCTCATACTCATTACTAGAAAAGCTCGAGCCAACAATAACCACCTCCGCTGTACTTCTGAGAGTAGATTGGAAAACTCTGTTGCATCTTTCATGCTAGAGTACAGAAACATACAAGCACCATATACCCAGTTCAGGGTGCTCAATTTAGGGTGCTCAATACCCAGTTCAGAACATACCCACTCAATCGCAAAGGAAACCCAAAACAATAATCAAGGGAATGATAAAACCCCAAATGAAACCCAGTAGGAGGGAAAGAAGGGTACCAACCTGGATTCAGGATTAGAACCAGCGACTCAGTAGGAGAAGGCCGATACGAGGAATTGACTGGCAGAGGGTGATAGCGTATTAGGAGCAGCGACTCAGATAGGAGAAGGTCGAGACGAGGAATTGACCGGCGAAAGCTGGGAAGCGAAATTGAGCCGACAAAGGACGACAATTAAGAATCGAGGCTGGGAAATGAAATCGGTCGGGTGACCTGCAGAGGCTGGGAAACAAGAATTGGCCACCTACGTATGGAAGAATGGAGGTAGTATGGAGAGAGGGAAGCAGGAAGGAAGAAGCCGAGAGGGAGGAGCCGAGGATCAGTCCACTAGCGCCAAAGAATAACGAGAAGGAAGAAATGGCAGCACTGTTACGACTTACGACGGTGAGGGTTTAGGATCTAGGAATTTCTTCATTATCTTGGTTAAAAATTAAACCAAACCAAAAAACCATCGGTTTACAATTAGATGAGTTAAACCCAAAACCATAGTCCAATGCTCAGTCAACCGTATATCGTAAATCAATCCCATATCGGTTTACAATTGGATGGGTTAAACCCAAAACCTTAGTCAAACACTTACTCAACCATATATCGTAAATCACTCCCACATTAGTTTACAATTAGAAGGGTTAAACCCAAAACCTTAGTCAAACGCTCACTCAACCATATATCGTAAATCAGTCCCACATCGGTTTACAATTATATGGGTTAAACCCAAAACCACAGTCAAACGCTCAGTCAACCATATATCGTAAATCAATCCCACATCTGTTTACAATTAGAAGGGTTAAACCCAAAACCATAATCTAACGCTCACCAGCCATATACCCTAAACCAATCTCACATTGGTCTACAATTAGATGGGTTAAACCCAAAACCATAGTCAAAATCTCACTCAACCATATACCCTAACCTTAATTTCACATTAGTTTACAATTAGATGGGTTATACCCAAAACCGTAATCAAACGCTCAATCAACCATATACCCTTAACGAATCTCACATCGATATAAAATTAGATGGAATAAACCCAAAAGCGTAATCAAATGCTCACTCAACCATATACCCCAAACCATTCTCACATCGGTTTACAATTAGATGGGTTAAACCCAAAACCGTAATCAAACGCTCAGTCAACCATATATCCTAAACCAATCTCACATTAGTTTACAATTAGATGGGTTCAACCCAAAACCATAATCAACCACACACAAAAACATATACCCTCAACCAAAACCACATTGGCTTACAATTAGATGGGTTAAACCCAAAACCATAGTCAAACGCTCAGTCAACCATATATCGTAAATCAATCCCACATCGGTTTACAATTAGAAGGGTTAAACCCAAAACCATAATCAAACGCTCACTCAACCATATACCCTAAACCAATCTCACATCGGTTTAAAATTAGATGGGTTCAACCCAAAACCATAATCAAACACTCACAAAACCATATACCCTAACCTCAATCTCACATCGGTTTACAATTAGATGGGTTCAACCCAAAACCATAATCAAACACTCACTCAACCATATATCCTGAACCAATCGCACATCGGTTAACAAGTAGATGGGTTAAACCCAAACTCGTAATCAGACGCTCAATCAACCATATGCCGTAAAGCCAATCCCACGTTGGTTCACAATTACATGGGATAAACCCAAAAAAAAATCAAACTGTCACTCAGCCATATATCCTAAAATCAATCTCACATCAGTTGACAATTAGATGGATTCAACCCAATACCGTAATCAAACGGTCGCTCAACCATACACCCTAAACCAATTTCACATCGGTGGTTGACAATTAGAACCAATCTCACAACGGTTGAACCCAAAACCGTAATCTGCCATACACGTAAACCAACCCCACATCGGTTAACAATTAGATGTGTTACATCCAAAACCATAAATCAAAAGCCCACTCAGCCATATACCGTAAACTAATTTCATGTCAATTGACAATTACATATGTTCAACCCATAACCATAAAGCTAAATCATTAATTGATTTATATAGCTAAACTGACTATAAATGTACCCAATAAATTGGCGCGGGTTCGATCCTTACAATAGTTTTTTCCTACAACTAATTCATGACCTAATCTCACGGGCGGGAAATCTGAATATGTAGTTCGTGAGAACGCCTGGGGACAAGGGGGCCAGTTTATTCTTTCCCGGACACATCTCACGGGCGTCGGATAACCCGAGACAGGCTGTGAGAACTCCTACAGACAAGGATGCAATATTTTTTTTCCCCGATCATATCTCACGGGCGTAGGATAACCCTAAGTAGGCTGTGAGAATTCCTCAAATGCTGGTGATCAATTCATTCTATTCACAGTCATATCTCACGGTCGTGATAAAATTCAACACAGGGCGTGAGAACTCTAGGAGTGTTGGGGGAACAATTTCTTGAATTTTACACCATTTTTTTTATATAAGATCATTCATAAATTATTCACTGTCGACGCATTAACAAAAATACCAAGAAAATAGATCAACACTGGATATTTCTTCATTCATAACTTCATTGTACTTTCTACATTTTCCTAAATATCATTCAACATCTACATTCACTAACACAAAAGCAGAACTGGCTTCATTCAACATCCACATTACCCTACATTACATTCAACATCCACATTACCTACATCCACATTAACTAACATCTACATTTTCATAAACTTGATTCAACATCCACATTAACTAAACTCTACATTAACTTCTACACAACTCTCAATAGTTCTTGGATTTTCTACCCATTTTCTCCCCATGCGTGTGTAACGGCTTTCTTCCTCAATTAAGTAAGTTCATCTTGAAATTCACCTTCTCAGTCTCAATTTGGGCAGTTCTCGTATGAGTCTCAAAATATTCATCTGATGGTGCCTTAACTATAACTTGCACCTCATTCAGATGCGTAGTGAGCAAGTACATAGTAAGTTGTGCCCGTTCATATTCACTGTCAAACTAGTCAGGCTTCTTGGAATATTGATCTGGATCCAGCAAGTAATTGACGACAAATAGTCCACAATCAAATCGGTAATATAGCAAATAATTACCATGGTCATGATGCGAACAAATAATTACCAAACTTAATTGGAATAGTGCACAATTGAACAACAAAGGATGCCCATTTGGTTGGTAGGCAATATCCTGGCGATAACTAACCACAAAGTCCACAAATGAAAACGCTCCGCAGATCTCCTCCTTAAGCAACAAGTCTAGACCCAATTTCTGCATATGAAAACATCCCTTCATCGATATTTAACGACAAAGTCGGCAAATGAAAAACAACTAACAACTAAGCAATAAGTCAAGTTTGAAAACTTGAAGAACAAGACAAGAAGCAAACCAGTTTCTGCATCCTTGCATCATATTCTTCGTTGTGAGTTCCTGGTATTGAGTCTCAGATTTCAATTTCTTTGGTTTCCAAGTTGAAGACTGCCAAATAGAAGCGGGTCACCACGAGGTTGCAAATTGGGACATAAATCTGAAATAATGCACAAACAAACAATAATTATCAATTTATCATAGGAGGGTTAAGCCATTTCCTTTTAGAAAACAATGTTACAACATACCTTACTGTATTAAAATAGCTCATTTATACAGTATCGCTCAAGTATCTTATATGAACCCATGACACCCATAAATTGCTCCTCATTGCAATAATACGCACGATCCTAGAAAAAGAAAACGCAGTTACCCACACCAGCTACATGTAACGAACAAATAGATTAATTTCATGCCAAGAATAGACAAAGCAGACAACTGTACCGCAACTGAAGGTGGAAAGAACCAAGACAAGCCACCACTGCGACCACAACTTCGTTCTTCTAGTGTCTTGCACAGACACACCATTTTTATAATCTAATGCATCATCATCACATATACCAAAGTCAGCAATACAAGTTCAATGTACTAAATTACACACATAAAGGAACTCACCCTTGTTGTAATTTTGGTCTTGGGCAAATGCTGGACCAAATCTTCACGAAGCAAGGGAAGAGCCCCGCCATCAAGACTAACCAACAAGTCATTGTTATACAAGACCAAGTTCAAACACCACAACATTAGAATAAAGGCAAATAACAAAAACATCCTACAAATATGATCCAATCTTACTTGTAATGATTTCGGGAGGTACCTTCCGGGAAGCTTACTACTAAAAGCAAATTGAATCATCTTTAGTGCCTCCGGAGTCAATCGTGTCTTAACAACAAAGGGAGGAGCAAGGTACAAAGGTGGTGCTTTCTTGGCTCTGGGATTTGCCCGTTCGAATGGAGAGACCACATACAAACTAGGCTTCAATTTAGACACACTACATAGTCCACCTCCCTTTCGCCCCTTTATTGTTCAAAAACATAAAAACAAAACCAGTTCATTAGTAACCACACCCTTTCGCCCCATTACTTGTAATGGATGTAAACGTTTTATAGCACCAATACTATAAAGCATACTAAAATGCCTCTTTTCTTTATTGTTATCAAAATCAGGAGTGTCGAACTTGTAGTTGCCTGTTTGTGGGAGAGTAACAATGAGCCAACATGGTGATGAACCCGATGTTCTACAACAATGGGTGTTAGTACCTCTGCTCAACAACATAAAGGAAAGAGGAAAAAGAAGAAGGAAGCAGGGCAAATTAAACTGTGTTGCTTCAGTGAACTGTTGTGTTTAAGTTAGTTGTTAGTCTAGCATTTCTTGTTTTACTATACACACGTGGATACTTTGTAATTGGTTAGATTAACAATTAGATAGAAATAGGCGTTGGCTAACCGTGATTAGTAATAGGTGTATATGTTGGCTTTATTCAATGGAAAAGCTCTGAGAGGAAATTCTATGTTTCTTGTCACACATTGAGGCAAAGGCTCCCCCAATCAACTTTCAAATCTTGTTAAAAGTACATATAAAACTTGCAATACATTTTGAAAAGCAGAGTAGTTGGCTCTTGGCAATGCTTTGACCCCCTTCTCAAGCTACCATAATTTCATTTCTGTGAACTTAATTTTTTGTACTCTTTTCCCGTCTAAGATTTCTAGCTCCACCACCATTGAATATGCCACATCCTATGCTGGGAGGGAGATGAGTGAGAGAGAGATGGAGTATCACGTCGAATCATGCATGAAAAATATTTGGAATAAACATGAGCTACGAAAATCTAAATTAGGTTTCATATCAACACTGGCTAAACTATTAGTTAAACAGTGGCGAAATCCAAAAAAAAAAAAACATCTTATTGGAATTATGATTTCGACAAATTCTTTCGGTGAATGACAATTTTTTTTTTTCCAAAATAGGAATTTACCAATGGAATTAACCCCTTAATCTAACTTGCTGCCGACTGCCGAGACTCTAATTTATTTTGTAAACTAGCATTCAGGCTCACCAGGAAAAACCGTTCAGTTCAATTTATTAACCACTAATTGGCTGCCACGTACAGACCCATCCCTAGGGCTGCGCAACAAAAACACACACTCTCTCTCTCTCCCTCTTCACTCGTCACTCTTCACGCCCACACGCTATTTCTCTCCCTTCCAAAAGTACAAGCAATGGAGTCAGCTACTCTCTCGACGGCCTTCACTTCCTTCCGCCGCCACGTGCGGCCTGATCTCCCCCACCGTCCAATTCATGCATCTTGGCGCCGGAACCAGACCTCACCCCTACCGATTTCCTCCACCGGCCGCCGCCAGAGGTTTGACGTGTTCTTGAGCTTTCACGGCCACGACGCCCGCCACAGGATCGTGGACCACCTCTACGCCGCTCTGCTCAGAAAAGGAACCAAGCCGTTCAAAGACGACACGGAAATGGAAAGGGGCCTGGACGTGGAGGAGGCCATCTCGACGGCGATCGAAGACTCGAGCATCTACTTGCTCCTCTTGTCCCCCGGCTACGCTTCGTCGGCTTTTTGTATGGACGAGGCGGTTGAGATTATGCAACGCTGCGGCAGCGGCAGCGGCAGCGGGGGGAGAGTAGCCCTCCCCATATTTTACTTGATCTCGCCGGACGACGTCTCCCTCCCGACCGCCGGTTGCTTCAAGCAACACTTCCTTTCCCACTTTGATAAATTCACTTACGGCCGAGTTCAGGGATGGATGGATGCCTTCTCCTCAATTGGGAAAATTGGTGGATGGGTGCATGAGAATGGCAGGTAATTAGTTAACTACTACTAGCGTTAATTACGTACAATTTTAGGGCTCACACATGTAAATCCTTTGGCTGGCCAGTTACAGGGTTTTGGATTGTTTCCCTAGCTAATTCAAGTTTAGGTTTAGTTAACCCTAGGCCCTAGCTAGCCGACAAGAGTTTAATTTGGATTCTGTCCCCTAATTCTAGTTTAGGGTTTGCATCGAATGCTTTAAAGTCCTCTGAGGGTATTAGAAACTGCTTATATTACCCTAATTAACTCTTGTTCAGCTTGCATTGTTATTAGGGTTTGGAGGATGTTAATTAAAGTTTTGTGGCTCTCGTGTAAATCCCTAGCTGGCCAGTTATTAGGGTTTGGATCGATTCCCTAGCTAATTCAAGTTTAGGGTTAGTTAACCCTAGCTACCCGCTACCCCTAATTCATTTTGAATCACATGCTGTAAAGGAGCATTTCTACTATGCTATATAGCATTGGTGCTTTAATGTACAACTTGAAGTTGTACCATAACATTAAATGTATAAGTTTAGGTTGTACCCATAAAGGAATTTGTATCATTATGTTATGGTACAACTTTACAACTTAAAGTTGTACCATCACATAAGGTACAAGTTTAAGTTGTACCATAAAAGAATTTGTACAAAAAGTATAGGTACAATCTGAAGTTGTACCATAACGTTAAAAGTACAATTTCAAGTTGTACCATAAAGGCAAAAACCTATAGCACCAATGCTATGTAAAGTTCCTCTGCTTTAAAGTACTCTTGAGTGATTAGCTTATCCTCACTCTTGTTCAGCTAGCAGGACTAAGATTTAAGAAGATGTGGCGGTCTGGTCCTAACTCAATTTCTGATAGATAGAACTGATTTGGTGAATGCATGCATGTAGGTCAGAAGCTTTGCTCGTCGAGGAGGTTTCCACGACGATTCAGAAACTGGTCCTGAAAATGAGGAGCACTAGGCATGATATCTTTACTAAATATTCCCCACCGTCGCCGCTGTCGTGGCTGCAGCTAGCTTCTTCTACAAGTGCTCACAATGACCAACATATGGTACTAGCTCTAGTTCTAGTTCTAACCCTAGAAGTTAGTTCCATATCGAACCCTTTGCTATTTCTTAAACTTGACTCTCGTATTATATATGCATGCAGGAACCCTATAGCTTGATTAACCGGACTGCTAAATGTAAATTAGTCATTAATAGTTTTAATTTACTCGTTTAACGTAACTCTCATCGATCTACGTACACATATATATATATTGTGCAGGAACTGGAGTACTTTCAGCCACAAATGATCTCCTCAACACAAGGCAATGACAGGATCGTGAGGATCCCCAAACCCGATCACGGCGTGGAAAATCAGCACTCGCTGCAGCTGTGTTTGGTGGCACAACACTACTCACGCCCCGGTGCCCGCGGCCAGCTTGACATAACGATGAACAGCATCACCACCATTGCCACTGAGGCAAGAAGCTTGTGGAAGGATGAAAACATCCAGGTGGAACCCCTCGATGCTGCTAATAACATTAATGGTTACATCATCCGATTTCTGAATGAAGACACTCGAAACTGGGTGCTGGAGTCCTCTCCCTGCCTCATCAACGGCACCCAGTTCTACATGAGGAAATGGAAAGGGCCGTCGTCGTCATCGCTGCTGACGATTCCGATGTGGGTGAGGCTGTACGACGTTCCTGAGGAGTATATGAACCCCAAAGGGCTGAGCTATATAGCCAGCGCTCTCGGGAAGCCCATGTACGTGGATCGGGCCACCGCTGACTGTTGTTACAATCACAGCAGCGGGTCCCGTGATAAGATACCGGCATATGCTAAAGTCTGCGTGGAGATCAGCCCCAAGGACCAAGGCATCATCACTTTTAGGCCTGCGGCCGAGAGGACGATGGTGATTGCTATTGGTGACGAGAAGGAGAATCTGGTGATCGTCAACGCCGTTTACCAGCTGGAAGAAGACGGTCAGGGGGAGGGGGAGCTGGTGGTATAGCTCGTCATAAATCACCAAGTAAGCCTCTTTCTAGCTAGCTAGCAACGTGAGGTTAGGAAGGTAAAGCTATGTATTTGTATGAACCTGCTGGGTTGAGTACTGCTTCAGCTGGACTACAGTTAAGTATGCTGGATTTGTTTGTATGTTTGGTGTATAGTTTTCATCGATTAGCTTGCCAGCTAGGCTAGCTACGGTCTACGTGCCTTGTGTAAATAAATATATATATACCTAGTCGTATATAGTTTGATTTTACTTACTAGTTTTCACCATTTCGAGTAGATTTATTTACAACACACACTGACTAACTCTCGTAAAGCGCCTTGTACCGATCAGTGCACATGCATGCATGCATGCAAATATACTACGTGGAGAAGTGATTTATAGTTACTAACATTGGAGACTTTAGGAGCTCAGGCATCTACCAGAAAACCAGCGCACTTTATGAGTCATCATCTTCCAAAAAAAAGAAAGATATGTAATTGCAAAACATTGAAATTGAGTTTCTGGTTAACATCTAATTGTTAAAACTACCTAATTGACAAGCTTGAGGAACGCCTCTCTTCTCTTGTAAGGATGGATATATTCTTAAGTTCATCCATCCTAGCTAGTTTGAGCTTCCCAAGTCAAGTCTGTGATGATTGAGGTTGAGGATGAAGTAATTTGCTCCTAATAGACTAGTAAGAGGGTTTCTAAACTTTATATGCCTGCTGGCATCATCGATGAGGAAATTGTAAGAGGTGATCGAACGATTTTGAACTTTTTCTAACAACTTTTTATTATTGGCATCGATACCAGAGTCTTAATTTGCAGCCGACAAGTCGGCAACAGTATCAATACCTGATGGACGTACAATTAAAGGTATGATAGATAGATTCATAGAGTTTGTCCAATCTTCAAGGTCGGTGCATTCTCATATAGGCAAGGTTGCCAAATCGGTTTAAGTCATTGAGCCGGTCAAGCAAGGGATTTGAGGTTTAATGGTCTGATCGGGGTCCGGCCAGCTTGACCCGTTTTAGGCATTTTCTAAATATACATACATATAATGTAGTAATTAAAGATTTAATGACTGAAATAAAATATATCTTACAAATATCTATTAAAAACTTATTTTCTACAAAATAAATCTATCTAACATTCACGACTCACCCACCATTTCCCTTCCTTCGTTCCTCTTTCTCTCTCTCTCCCCTCTCTTCTCCTCTTTAGGGGTCGAGGAGGCTTTCTGTAGGCCGTTTTGAAGCTCGACTCGGGTCGGACCGAGTCCAACCGAGAGTTCATGTGATGAGAGCTATGCATCTTATATTTTTCATATAAGACTCCCCCCCCCCACCCCCACCCCCCAACGCCTCCTTCTAGTTTTTCGATTTTTTTGTTGTTTAATTGTTCTTTTTATATTTATTAATTTCTTCTCACATAAATTCCTCTTTATAAGAATCAACCATAATTATGAATGGAGATTAGAAAGTCTTTGAATTTGTTTTTCTATAAATATTTATTGCCTTCAAAGCTCAAACTTGGGATGTGATATAAAAAAAATTTCCTTGCATATTAAGTATTAACTAAGTAGTATTATGTTTCATTACTAAATATTTCTTAAAAAGAATTATGAAAAATATTCACGAGGGCTTTTATTAGCTTATAAGAGGCTCATAATAGCTTCAATCGCTGTGTAATTTCATTAGATGTTCAGGCTGAGTGCAATCTTTTTATCTTGTTGAACTTTTTTTTAATAGCTCTAGTTGTTAGGAGGAATTGATTGTCAGATTCATGGATAGATGTTATCGTGAGCTCACGATATTAATAGTTGATTTAACACAAGGTATTAGTTCTTGAACCTTTTCCAAAACGACTAGAATTATCAGCATTTTAGCATACCTCTTAAATCATGACCTTATAATTAATGGAATCAGATGATTCTAGACAAAAAATAGTTATTCATTAGTACATCCATAAATATGTATATATGTGAAACATTACCCGTTGTGACCATTTGCTGGTCAAATCATGCTTGAGCTAGTGCTCCGGCGATGAACTGGATCCGCTGCTGCTTAATTCGAAGATCACCTATCTGCACCAGAGAATAATAATAAAGCAAGCACAAACTTCAACTTAGACAGGCATGCCTTTGCTGACCTTCAGCAAGCTAGCTAGCTAGCCAGTTTCCTAAAAATAACAACAAACGTGCGTGATCCATACCAAACGGGAAATCCATAGGAGGAGCAGGCAAACAGATTCCTTCATCGGAGTTTGTCGCGATTCCGGCCGGAACATGCCTCCGATCGAGTACAGCTAGCTGCTACATGCATCAAAAGATAAATCTTGTTAACGGGAGAGCTACTTGAACGGCCGTTGGGAGAAAGGGAGGAGACAGCTTGGAGATTCAAGCTTGCAGTGGTGCGCGGGAGAAAGTCTTTATATTCCCCTTTTTTTTAATAAATATATTTTATCTACCGTATAAGTAACGGAAGAGCTAGCCATTGATAAAAATAAAATAAAAAGTCCTTGTCCAAAATACCTGAAAGAGTTACAATCGTTTACTCATTTTACAATTTTGCCACTTGTATATATATTTGCAAATGGCGAATTTCCCACATTAATTATGCCGTTAGTATCAGACAGTTGACTTTGACCCAGTATTAACAGGCATGCCTCCAGGCATATATATTATTCATATTATCATTCGTATTGTTTTTGAAAGGTAGCTGATACACCTGCCAATCGGTCGGGTTGGGTAATTTTGGGTTGAGAACTTCGATTACGGGTCGGGTCATATTTGGTTGACTTATTTTGGGTCAAATATTGATCTAACCCATTCGGTTTCGGGTCGGGTTACAAGTCATTTCGGATTATAAGCGTTCTCAGAAACAATATCAAACATGCTTCATATTTTCTTAAAGAACACAAATTTTCACATATGCATGATAATAGTTTACCTAACACATGTCAAATAACATATTCTCAAATCCTTCCACACTAATGAAATGAAATATAAATTGCGCAAATCGTCAAAAAACAATCACAAGAGTAATACTACTACAAGAAACACATGATATTTGATTATTCTAAAACTCCAAACATGTCATTCAAATCCTTGTGATTTTTTTTAAACATCTCACCAATTTATGAGTGATTCTATCATATTTTGGGAGTAATATATTAAATGGAACGGGTCTAACAGGTCGACCCGTTAACCTACCCAACCCGACCCAAAAAATCACTGGTTATCGGATTCGGGTCTTCGGATTTCGAATTACAAACATTTCTAATTTTTGGGTGATTTCGGGTCAGATCAACGGATCGGATTGTAATTTGCGAGGTCTAATAACTGAGAATTTGTATGCGTATGAAAGAATTTCCATACGTGTTATTTTACTGTCATGACGCAATAAGAATGCCGCCGTCTCTTCCTTTTTCTTCCTTGCTGTTAGCTAGCTAGTTACGTACGGGCTCTAACAAACAAAGACGTTCCTTCCTTCCTTGGCCGTCCCACTACGAATAAATAAAAAATGTTGTAAACAACTCGTTTGAAAAGGATTGTTGAGTGTGCATCGATGTAAGATTATATATATACATGGTATCGTCTTCGGCGCACTCATTCTTTTAGTGCATTCAGTGCACTCGCTTCATAATTGTCATTTTAAACATGCGATTTATGCCAAAATGATGTCAATCATCACTTATGAGGTGATGAACAGTATGACACATGAATTTGCACAAAAATCATTAAAGATTTACTTTAATTTGAAGGATTTAGAGTTAAGAGATTTAGGGTTAGGGTTTACAATTTGTGGTTTAAGGATATAACTCAAAATTGGAGGTCTAGGGCTTAGGGTAATTCACTAATTAGTTGTTATAATATGTTATATCATCATATTACAATAATTCTACAAATTAAAATTCAAAATCCTGCACCTTAAGACTAGTTTTTGAGTTGTGTGCGTTTAGCGTACTCATTTTTGTGAGTGCATCGAAGTAGTCAATATATATATATATATGAAATTAGTCACCATATATATGAAATGTAGGGGAAAAACAGTGAACACGCTTAATTACAGCAAAAGAGCAAAGGTCTACTGCAGCAGCAACAAAAAAGTCTGACTAGATAGAGGATTTTTCTAAGGATTTTAACTGAACAAGATACAAATGAATATCCACCTTAGCACTTATGGTGGAGTTGAAAATCAAGTAATTGGGTAAATGTATACATTTTTCTCCAAAAAAAAAGTAAATGTATGCATTAAAAGATATAGAGATTTGAAAATATCTTGTTTGTTGATGATTTTTGTGTTTGTAAATTATATCATTTGCGTTTTTATTTTTTTGTGTCTTTAAATTTTTCTTGTATTAATCCATTTAGTAATCTCCTTCCTAGTTTGTTAAGAACTTCATTACATAGAAAATCGATGTAACTATTAGATAGATACTATAACGACTGACTACATGAGAAATAAGGGAAAGTAGAAAAATAAATCATGTTACATACGGGTATTAATTATTTATTTTTTTCCGTTGAATCAGTAGCTTTTATTTCAATACAACACCGATACAATGAAGCATGGGTCTTGCAGACCCATGGACAAGCTCTACATCACACTACCTACCCTGCCCTCTCTATAAAAAAACTACTTACAGTGTAAGGAACAAGCAAAAACTTATAAGTATCCAAACCGTTCCAATCCATCTCGCATAGCCATGTTCCCACATGTGAGAAGTAAGAGTTCCGCTTTGATCATCTCTACTATTTTACCTGGAGAACGAAGAGCAGAACCATGAACGAGCCCGCATCTTTCCTTCCATATAACTGCGACCAGCACACACCATATAAGGGCATGCCATTTTCCTTCCTGAAAATTACTGTTGACTTTACGGCTGACAGCATGAAGCATTACCCCCCCAATCGTTGTGCCTCAGAAGCTGGCATTGCAGGTGACTAGCGAGCTGACTTGAGTAAGCACACTGGAGGAAGAGATGATCCCTTGTCTCTATGTCCACCCCACAGAAAAGGCACGATGCATCAGTAGTTTT